GACTTGGAGATCGTTGGGGTTGATACTTGGCGACATCACAGTTCAGACACCGGTTACATTTGGACTCTGTATCCCCGACATTGGTGACCTATGGTTCTCGACATTTTGATCTTGTTGGATGACATTTTGGACTACCATATCGGTGACCTATCAGATTCTATCTCGGTGACTTTCGGTGCTGTCTACCTCCCCCCACCTCTTCGTCTCTCCTCCCCCATTCATCTGTGTATGTGTGTACGGGGCTGAGCATCTTCTATGTATGGCTCAGACCCCACCACCTCACGATTGTTATGTGTGTGGAGTGATGCTATGTGAGTCAGTCTATGTGAGTCAGTCTATGTGAGTCAGTCCGTTCATCAGACTTCCGTTGCATATATGCTCATCCTACATTGGTTGATCCTTGGTTCTGCCCATACTCATTGGAGTATGTAACAGTTTTGGTATCGGAGCAGACCAATAACGGATCTGCTCACAAAGGTAAGACTGATTTAGGAATTAGATTGTTCTTCAATCTTCCCAATCAGCGCTGTATTACTATCAAGTTCAAGTTGCAATTTTTTTCGGTAGTCTAGTTATTTCGGCATTTCCTGTTCAATTCAGTATTCGGACTTTTATTCGGATTTCTGTTGTACACCGGTATGCTGTTTAATTAGGATCCGAGAAATTGACACTAATCCAACCTTCTGTTTGATTCGGATTTCTGATTTTACGCGTATTAGGGTTGAATCAGTATCATGTTTGAAATTCGGCTTTTCTGATTTCCATTCAGCATTCCGTTTTTCGGCACTCTGTTGTAAATCCTATATTTCGTTTTCTTTTGGATTTCCGTTGTCTTTCAGTATTGGAATTAGGGTTACGAAAATCTTTTGGGTTTTAGATCAACTTGGGGAAATTCGAACGTTTTGGGCCTGTAAATCCGGAAATTTCGCGGAAACGCGGAAAATTAGGGTTAGGACCGAAATTTTTGCGAATTTTTTTTTTTTTTCGTTCCCCTTGTTTGAGAAATTCCGAAAACAGGTTTAGGCTCTTAAAAATCGGACTTTGACGGTGGAAATTCCCAAAAATTCACGTTTTTGAAAATTCGAGCGTTGTTTCTTCTGAAATTTTCCGAATTTTTTTTTAGCACACTAAGCCGTATCTGACCCTCAAACTGCAACTTCCGGGTAGTTCACTAATTAATGGTGAACTCCCGGACTCAAAGTGATCTCAAAGAGACCTAATCATAATACCTTTCAAATTCGTTTAATATCATGATGGCAATTATTGTTTATTGATTATCTTTATTGCAAATAATGATTATTGGTTATCTTTGTTACAAACATTGTTTTATTGATCATCATTAGGAGTATTTCGTTATTTATCATTAATTAATTTTATTGATTAAATCGTTATTAATTCCCTATTACGAATTTTTGAATGGTTTACGGGAAATTTATTTCTCTGTTTGATTAGGTGTCTACAGTCCATCAGTGGGACATCGTTTGATTGTTCTACCCCTGCTCCCACTCTCCCTACCCTCCCCGTATTCTGTGACCACCGGGACCTCTCAAGTACCGCATCAGCCCACACTGATGTCGATGGAACAGGATACCGGGGCACTACCACGGCGCAGTGCCAGGCTCGCAGTTCGTGCTCGACCTACGGTACCTCCACGAACCAAGGCTCAGCAACAGAGACTCAGCAGGCGGACGACTCCAGCGGCATCGAGTACAACATTGACGGTACCGGACACCACCGGAGTTCTTCCCGCATGCCCGGTCCGAAGGGCCAGTGAACCGTTGGCTGACTATTTTGGGCGGCTACAGGTATTTACAGATGTCGTAGCTGCCGCCAAGGCTCAGCAGGAGGCAGCAGAGGCAGAACGTCAGCGGCTGGCCAATGAGGCGGCAGCCCAAGCTCNTTAGAGAATCGGGTGCAGCAGCTCAGTAGACCAGTAGTGTCTACGTTAGCAAATAACAAAACCAGCACTTAAGTGACAGACTACATAAAGGAAGCGGTTAGGACCTCCTCTTATGGAGGAGGAGAGGAGGAATGCTAAGGATGTGCATTCATTGTGCATTGACTACAGGGGTCTCGATGCCATGAACATGCATAATCTTGAGCCCCTACCTAGCAGAACGACCTCTAATGGCCTCAATCAGGCTCAATGCCATCAACACGCAAGTAATGTTGAATGCGCCCACCTGCCCACCCGGCACCCTGCGCGCCCACCAACCCACTCACCCGCCGGCCCGCCCGCCCACCCACCTGCCAACCCACCCGCCGACCAACCCGCCAACCAACTCCCAGCCAACCAACTCCCCGCCAACCCCCCAACCAACTCACCAACCGAACTACCAACCAACCCACCAACCAGCCCACTCACCAACCAGCCCACCAACCAACTCACACACCGACCAACAAAAGGCATGGATAATATGCCATTCGCAACCACCAGCTATAGGGCCTCGCCACCAGTCACCAAACGAAAAAGTGTCGGTGCATCTTCCCACAGAAGCTGTAAAAATCATCCATAGCAATGAATAGTAACGGACGAGTGAACAAAAAAAAAAAGAAGTAACGGACGAGTGAGGCCACCATTGGCAGGAAAATGAACTCCATTTTTCTTCGTTTTGTGAGTGCTGTGCCAAGGCTCATAAGCTTATCAATTAATTTCGAACAATTTCATAATACAGTTCCACATGGCAAGGGGTGGGAGGAGACAATCTTTGTTACCACCCGCAGTAGCCTGCCTGCCTGCCTGCCTGCCACTTACATCAGCTCAGACTCTCTCTTGATGAACTCTTCATGTTGCAGCTTGAGGGCCATCTCGCCGTCCGCTTTTAGCTGAGTTATATTGTTCTGATGCTCGTACAGCAAGTGCTTGACCTTTTGCTTGTAGACCTGCACCACCACCACCACCACCACCACCATTATCAATGGGACAGGATAATGAAGATCAAGGAGAGAGGGAGGGAAAAGAAAAAAGAAAAAAAAAAACAGAATAAAAGAGGTTCCGTGTGAGAATTCACTCACCATGAAGCGATAGTAAAATGAAATTGCAGAACCTCAGTCTACCAGTATGAAGTTAATATTAATATTTAATAATAACTTAATAACAAATTCCTTATTATGTCATTAGTTGAAAACTTGAAATATACGCTTGCATTCAGGCATCCATTATTATCATCATTACAATTTAATGAATATAACTCAAGATTCAAGCATCAAATTTATCAATAATTTAGAAAGGTATTAAGTTTTGCCTTATTGACAAAAAAGGAAAACATGCGTCAGATTATCAGATATTGGTATGTTCGTTGATGGACGTCTGGCATTCGCAATTGGGTAATTAGGTAATAATTGGGTAATTGCCACTAATTGTGTAATAATTGGGTAATTGGGTAATTGCCAATTGGGTAATTGGGTGATTGGGTGATTGGGTGATTGGGTGATTAGGTGATTGGGTGATTGGGTGATTGGGATATTGGGTGATTGGGAGATTGGGTGATTGGGTAATTGGGTAATTGGGTAATTGGGTAATTGGGTAATTTGTACTGGTGCAATCTAAGTGGGGAATTGGGTAAAATTGGGTAAAGATTCTAAAGAACATAATGACCAGTGGACCATTCTCAGTCCATCCACATGAATATCATGAACCAATCGGATCACATAATACTATGATAATAATCAATAGAGTCTTATGTATAATTATTTGATAATTTGAATGAATTTTGAATCCAAACGTAAGGCCGTTGGGATCCATTTGCTGGATGTTCCGACTACAATTGCCACGAGCGAATACAGAAGAGAACAACTTTTTCGACTGAATCTGGCCGTAGTTGCAGACGGATACACCCACAGAAGTTCTGGTCGGAGCGCCCTCCTGAGTCACCCACACACTGCGAACCTATCAGCTATGCTCCTAACATCAGAGTCGAATACCATTTTTTCGAAAATGAAGCACGGCAGCAAAGACAAGCAGCCAGCCACAGCAGTGAAAAGACAGCCTCTCCCATCTTTTTCTAGAAAAGAACGTGGGACCATCATCTCTGCAGTAGAGCTGCAAAATTGCCCTTTGTACAGATGTAATGGACCCACCCACGGTCTTCTCGCTAAACTCACACCCGCCAAGGAGAACTGAGCTTAGTTCGCAGATGTTGCTGCCTGCGCGCCACTTCTGCTATATATTCTGTGGGTGTTTTGCTGGCTTTTGATGGGTTGTGATTCTTGTGAACCTGCAGTCTGTAGAGTTTTCTGTCTGCTATGGGTGAGTGATAATCTGCTTTGATTATCGTCACAGGTAACTTGAGGGCAATGGTTGGTGCCCACTGCCCACCTCCTCAGAGGAGTATCAGTTGTTGAGCAGTCGTTGATGATTAGCCCCAACCGGGGTTAAGCTGGATTATCACTTCGGTTAGGGAACTCTGCAGACTGTAGAGGGTTCAGCCTCTTGATGAGTCGATGATGAGACTCCGACGAAACAGTCTTGTCACAGCCCCTCATTTGTCGTCCTCTTCTCCCTCTCCACCTACTATGAACCGGGAAGTTATACTATTCTATATGATGATACGCATATACTGTGAGACGAGACCATGGGAAACCAACATCCGGGTGAAATGCACCATGAGGCACTTTGCCAGCGGTTGCAGTGGCTCTGAGATTGAGCCGCTGTTTCAGAATCCAACCTTTCTTTTTTTCCCCCCAAGGAATCCAAGCTTTTGGTTCATTTTGCTCTGCTTTACCTTTACGATCGATCACAGCTCCTCTTTTTTTTCAGGGTTGCAGGTGGCAGGACCAGGCTTTCCATGGTGCAGCCAGCCTGGAGATGACTGGTCATTGCGACTCCCTCACACACACAACTCCTTAGGGACCTTCATCCTCGCTTTGTGAGGCTTGGACCCCTGTTCAGTGCACTCAGACGAAGATCACTTTCCCAAGACGAGGTTCGCGTATCCAGTCCCTCCCGTGGACACCCCCCCCCCNACGCCACCCAAAGGTACGCCGAAACCGACGCACCTTTGCTCTATATCCGCATTCAAATCGGAAAGGCAACCTGTAGTGCCTTGATTGATTGCGGAGCCTCTCGCAACTTTATGAGCCAAGCCTTTATGGCCCGCGCAGGTCTTGGCCCGCGTGTTCGAAGAAAGACGCAACCTACGCAAGTTACACTCGCGGACGGCCGCACGCAAAAGTCAATTGACCGATGCGTTGACGGCGTTCCGGTCTATGCGTTGACGGCGTTCCGGTCTACTTTGCGCCACTTGCGTGCGAGCCGGTGTCTTTTGACATCCTCGACACCAAGTTCGACATGATTCTAGGCATGTCTTGGCTGCGTGGCGCCGATCATCCGGTGAACTTCCATGACCGAACCGTTCACATCCTTGATCAGAACGGAGTGTTAGTCCCATGTACGGTTGCGACCCCTCACACTTCGATTGCTTGTCACGTGGTTTCCGTTGCGAAAATTCGCGACGCCATTGCTTGGAATGACGTCGAGGAGATGGGCCTTGTATTCTTGCATGCTCTCCCCTCGCCGGACGGACCAGCCACGTCACCGCCAGACCCACGCATTTCTCACCTCTTGGACGAGTATAGAGACGTCTTCGAGGCTCCCACCGGAACGGTTCCGGATCGRCCCATACGTCACGGGATCACTGTCGAGGCTGGCGTCGTCCCTCCGCGTGGATGTATCTACCGCATGAGCGAAGAGGAACTCGAGGTGCTTCGCGCACAGCTCGATGATCTTCTCGACAAGGGCTGGATTCGCCCTAGTTGCTCGCCATACGATGCACCTGTTCTCTTCGTCCGGAAGAAGAACAAAGATTTACGGTTATACATCGACTATCGGAAACTTAACGCACAAACCGTAAAGAACGTCGGCCCTCTCCCTCGGATTGATGATTTCCTTGAGCGGTTAGGCGGCGCGACGTACTTCTCGAAGTTGGACTTGAAGTCAGGTTACCACCAGATTGAAATCCAGCCTCAAGATCGGTACAAGACCGCGTTCAAAACGCGGTACGGGCATTTTGAGTGGGTTGTCATGCCCTTTGGCCTCACCAATGCCCCCGCAACTTTTCAAGCAGCGATGACGACTGAGTTTCTCGACTTTCTCTATCGCAGCGTCCTCATCTACCTTGATGATATCTTGGTTTATAGTAGGACGTTGGACGAGCACATCGTACACCTTCGCGTTGTTCTGAATCGTTTGCGACTGGCCAAGTACAAAGCGAATCTCGACAAGTGCGAATTCGCCAAGCAAGAGCTTGAGTACTTGGGTCATTTTGTCACGCCAAAAGGTATTCGTCCCTTAGCGGACAAGATCCAAGCCATCGTGGATTGGCCGAAACCCCGTTGCACGACGGATGTACGCTCTTTCATGGGTTTGGCTGGATATTATCAACGATTCATCGAGTCATACTCGAAAGTGGTCGCTCCTTTGTCGAGACTTCAGTCCCCGAAGGTGCCCTTCGAGTTTGACGACGCAGCCCGTGGCGCATTCACTACGTTGAAGGCAGCGATGCAAGCCGCACCTGCCCTCCGTATATACGACCCCACCCTACCCACCCAAGTGACTACGGACGCTTCGGGATACGGTATTGGTGCGGTGTTGGAATAGTGTCACAAGGACGGTTGGCATCCGGTTGAGTATTTCTCCCAAAAGGTGCCTCTCGTCAACACTCTCGACGACGCTAGGAAGAAAGAGCTACTCGCGTTCGTCACCGTTCTCAAACGGTGGCGCCACTTTCTTCTCGGCCGTCGGCGTTTCAAATGGAATACGGACAACAATCCGTTGACCTTTTATAAAACGCAAGACACGGTCACTAGCACGATGGGTCGATGGATGTATTACATCGACCAGTTCGATTTTGACCCGTGTCACATTCCCGGTCCCGCCAATCGAGCTGCGGACGCCCTCTCACGACGGCCCGACTTTTGTGCCATTGTGACCACGGCATTCGACCTCGATGACGATCTGCAGCCGCATTTCGTCAAAGGCTACAAGTCCGATCCGACTTACTCTCAGCTTTACGCGGAACTTTCATCGGATCACCCGCCGGCTAGCCACTATCGGATTTCCGACGGGTTCCTTCTCCTTCACATGAGAGGAAAGGACTTGTTAGTTGTCCCCCAATATCGCATCTTACGGACTCGTCTTCTCGGCGAATTCCACGACGCACGACTTTCGGCACACCTTGGCGTGAGCCGCACACTGGCACGCCTCTGCCAGCGTTTTCACTGGCCCGACGTCCTTCATGACGTCACGAGGTACATTGAGTCATGTGCAGTTTGCCACCGAAACAAGGGTCGATCTCGAGTCCCCTTCGGCGAACTGAAACCGTTGCCGATTCCTTGGGCACCACGCCTCTCCATTGCTATGGACGTGACAGGCCCGTTTCCCCGCGATCGCCACGGCCATGACGGTATTCTCACGGTCGTTGACCGTTTGNCCCCCCCCCCGAATTATTACACTGGCAAGGACCCTTGCCTCGGTGAAAAGTGGACTTCAGACCCACTGGACCGCATTTATTGTAGTCTTAGGGGTCCATAGTCCTATATATAGACATCTATTCACCCCCCTCTCTTAGCACTACGCTAATCACAAGGAGCAGATTTTTCTAAGGGAGCGAGGTGGCCACAGCACCTCTCTGTCTCAGTTGAGGACTTTCAACTGTGCCCCTATAAGGGTCTCTCCCCACGTCCCCCATCTACCCTATAATCTGTAGGCATTGTCTCCACCAGACAGTGCTAAAGACTGACTCTCTCCAGTGCCCATGTGCACAAAATTGAGGGCACAAAGGTTTGGACCCACAACCTTATACCCCAAGGCCCATTTTGCACTGGTGCTCCAACAACTGGTGCACCATGGACCCCTTCGTCCCAACACCCTGACACGTGGCGACCGTGGGGTGTGAATGGTGGTCAGGCGTCAACCTAACTGCTCTCCAGCGTGAATGCGCGCAAAGTTGGGGGCACAGAGATTTGAACCCACAACCTTACAGGCTTATACCACAACGCGCATTATCTGCTGGTGATCTACTGACTGGTCCTCGATTGATGCGAAAGCGGATATTTTTTTCACTCTCCATTGACCTATGAACGATGCCTGTGGCAGTGCAACTCTGTCCGTCATCACTCTCTTGGGCTCTTTTTTTTGTCCACGTGGGGGTTGCGGGGGGGCCGGAAGAGGGGAGGGAAACCAAGAGCTAAACCCTAAACCTAAACCCACCCAAACCCACCTAAGCCAAAAATTTTCCATAGCTTAGTCAAATATTTACCTCGAACAGGACCACCGCAAACCACACCCACTTGAAGCAACCCAACCCTAACCTTAATTCTAGCCCAAGTCAACTTCTATTGAAACAAGGGCTTCCCTATCTGCTCAATTCCCGGACTAAAACTGGATCACCACACACTCCAAAATGCCCCGCTCAACATATCCCTATCCTTCCCTATCCGCTTGAGTCGCATTGGCCAAATACAATCTGTGCTATTGCATCCTCCACCTACCCAGGTAAGTGGGACCGGACCATCCAATAAGATCCAGAGTGGACGAAGCCTGAGCCCAAACCTAAACCCAGACCTAAGCTCTACCTAACAGAACGCCTACCGACGAACCTCCCCCCTCAAGATTGCCCATCTGAGAATTGCATCTCAAACGTGGACGGGAAAGTCCAACTGGCAAATTGTCAGAAGGCAGCAGAGGTTTCCGAATCGACCCTGAAACAGACCTAGAAAGACGACATACAAAACGGTCAATAAGTTCGAACCTGTAGATCAACGAGTTGGGAGCAGTCAATAACTGCGCTAAGTAGGGATCCGTCCGATCCGACAGCAGGGCTGGGATGGTCCATAAATCGGAATCTGAATATTGTTCGCTCCATACACAGATAGCAAACCAGAATGTGATGATGAAGCAATCGACTTGACGATGACCTCACTTGCACACATCCCCCTATGTCCGCTCCACCTCACCCCCTCCCCCAGCACACACACACGCGCGCGTCACACACACACACACAGGCATAGTGCGTTAACTTAATTGGATGTAAAAGTCCCTTCATCGCACTGAAACACAATTGATTCGTCCTTAAACCTCAATTGAGAATTTCGGGCACAAAACTGGTGCCATGCCGGTGGGCTAGACTGTAATTTGCCCACTTGACCATTTTTATTTATTCATCTACATTTTAACCCCGTTTTCCCCGTAGACTTGGCGTAGAGAATTTTTTTATCATGCCCCAATGAAGCTGCAAATAAAATGAATAGAAATGGAACGCAACGTACCTTGATTTCCACTTGATGTCTTTCCTCCATTTCCTCCATTTCTCTGTCTTTATTCCGCAGCTCCGCCTTCCGGTCCTCCAGTTCCTTCTTTGTGATCTCCCAAAATGAGTTGATTTTGTCCTATAGTGCCACAGCAACCACCACTGCCATCATCAATTACAAAAGAAGAAAAAGAAAAAAAATCAATCACAATTTCGTGAAGCAATCTCAGTCAATCGGGTTGATCAGCCTCTGCTTGCTGCCGCTTTTTTCCATTTGTTTGAACATCTTGCAGAGCAGCAAGCCACTATTCGGCGGTGATCTGAGCATCCCCCAAATTGTGGGTTGCTAGTTCATGGCTTTCGTCTATCGGTAGCGACGAACAGCACCTGCTGAAAGGCGGGTCTAGCATCCCATTATGTACAAAACCCTTGCTGGAAAGCAGGTCCAGCATCCCATTAAACTCCCCGCTTCCACAGTCCGCCTGTGACCTGCAGGATTGGTGTTACATCTTCGACGCCACACGGGTCCTACCGGACCCGACTTAGGGCTAGAGGGACACATCAGGGCCTAAAGGCCCG